CGACCCCCCCCGGGCCCGCCTGCCGCTTCTCCTGTATCTCGCCGACCAGCTGCTGGAGGGCCACCCTCCCAGCCCGCGCCTCCTCCAGCGCCAGGGCTTGGTTGCGGCGGAAGCGGCGGAGCTCGCGCAGCACCTGCGCCCGAAAGTCCTGAGCCTCCCGGTGGCGTACCCACTCCGCCCGAAACGCCTCCTCCTGCATGCTGTCCCGCAGGGCGCGACGCCTCCAGCGCAGGCGGCGCATCCGGATGGCCCCTGGGGTGCGTGACAGCGGCCGGGTGGCTCTTGGCCGCAGGTCGGTGGCCTCTGCCCAGAGAGAGGGGCTGCCTGTAGAGAGAGAGGAACGTGGCATGGGGTGAGAACAGCGAGGGTCCCTGGGGTGTAGCCTCATGCTTGGGCGGAGGGCCAAGCGTGGCTGTCAAGCCACAACAATGCCCGCTGCTCCGGGGCCTCCTGGGTCTGGGCTGCAGCTGAGGTCTGGGTGGCTCAGACCCTGGGGGGCAAGGGCACAGCTGCCCCACGTGCCCAGCTATAAGGCAGCCTGGCTGCTTGTCTGGGCCCAGAAGAGGCCTGGGTACCAGACAGGATCTGCAGAAGCAGTTGCGCTTTTATTTGCTCCAGCAGCGTGCTGTAGCAGCAGGGGCACTTAGCACCCACAGAAACGCTCTTGCCAGCAGCCAGAGCAATTCCCTGGAGAACAAAGCCTCCATTTGCACTAGTGCACACTCCTGCAGCATGCTTTGCCCCGCTTTTTTTTTTTTTAATGGTTTTTTTTTTTTTTTTTTTGATACTGGGAAATCCCAGTATCCAATTCTGGCACTGCAGTGTAAATTTGCAGCACGGCGCACAGTTGCACGCAGGCTGCATGCGGTTTGCATGGCCTCAAACCGGTTCGTCTGGATGCGCCCTTTGCCATCTATTCTAGACTTGAATGTGATGTCCAGAGACTGAAATAAAATTTGAGATGCATCAAAAACAAGAGTTCCTGTATGTAGGGACTAACTCAATTCACAGTTGCGTTTTTTTCCCCATGGAAAATGCAAGCTCAAGTGTTTTCCCTGAAAAAAGCAAGCAAGCCCTGCAATTTTGTTGGGGTTGAGGGAACAAAAAAAAAAAAAAGGACATGCTGGTTCCAAGCTGTAAAGGTGGGAAGCCTTCCCTCCTAGGGCTAATTGCAGCAAGCCCCTGAAACATGGGAGTGGGGGAACACAGGACTGCCAGGTGCCCACTGGCACTGCCTGCAAGGTTTGCCCCAGTGCAGACCCTCAGCGGCTCCTGCAAGATCCCAGGCAGAGCCATGCCCCCGCTGCAGAGGAAGGCAGCTCCCCCATCTGTACCAATCTGACCAGAGAAAATGTATTCCTGACCCCAATGCAGCATCGGTCTGACCCTGAGCCAGAGGGGCAAGACCCTGTAGCCAGGACCCTGCGGGGCTGAGTCTCAGCAGGAGCACCGGCACATCCCCGACCAACCTTTTTTTAAACATCTCCAATGCTGGAGAGTTCACAGCTTCCTTGGATGTCCATCCTACTAGCCCCTGCTCCAACTGGGAGTTGGTAACAGCAGCCTCCCGGGCACTGCTGTTTTAAAATAAAAATTAAAAAACCTCAAAAACCCCCCAGCAGCCTCCTACCATACACTTCTTCCCCGGCCCTTGGGGGAAAAAAAGAGTAAAAACCAGAGGCCTCCCATCCCTGCTCCCCGCATCCCCACATGGTGCCTGCACACCATGCCCATCAGCTCATGGGGCAACTGGGAACAACAAGAGCGAGGTGGAGACCAGGGCCACAGCGAGTGTGCAAAATCAAGCACCCGGTTCTGCAAATTAAGCCTGTCCCTACCAATCGTCCAGCTCAGGACCCCAGGGCTGGATGATAAGGTCTTGGAGGGCTGCAGCTGCCACGTGTTCCTCCCTCCACCCCACGCAGCCCAAGCTGCCCACCCACACACCGCTGTCATGCCCCCCACCAGCCCTGCCAGCTCTCCCTGCAGGCCCTCCCATGCCAGCTGTTTGCAAAACAGGAAGCCCATGGTTTCTCACTTCAGAGGGGCAAATCTGAGTTTTTCTCCTTTAAAGGGG